CCGTTCTTTACTCTCTGATTAGAAGCTTATATACAGTAATTACACGCTTCCATTTGTTTTTCATGCGTCCAGATCTCTTTTACTCACAAGAATTTATTAAGCGGCCAGATTCGCCTAGTAGGTCTGGTCACCGTCTACGTCTGCAAATTAATCGTAGAACCATCGGTAGAAATTTCATTATGCAAGTTTTATGAGAGTTTCTGGTAAGAATTGGAATATTGTCCTGAAAAAACCGTCGCAGTAGAGGAGCCGTGATTGGATTTGGCTATGTTTTTAAAGCATGGCCTGTTTTTACAACGAGGTTCTGCCCCTACTTTCATGAAATTCGATACTTTCAAACATCATGCAAATTTTGCTCGTTTTAGCTCTTTTTCTTCAGCAAAGAAGTGGCTCTTTCAAGCTGTTGTGGAATGGTAGGTTGCGTGATTGCGTATACTTCTATCTAATAGTAGCATTTTGTTCGAAAGCTGTCGGCTTGGTGTTATCAAAAGAATGTTGTAAAAATGCAGCAGTGGTCGTTCATACCAAAGGAAGTTGGAAGGCTTGCTGAGCGTATTTTAAACCCGATTCTCAATTTCGCAGAAGACAAAAAAGGCTGGATATTGCCGTTTGGTGCAACGCCGGAGGTTCAGCAGCAAGAAGTATTGGAGCGCTTGGAAAGCGAAATGATTTATCGCTATCTTCAACGACAGAGTAAGAAGGTGGGGGAATTTTTGTTCGAGGCGGCATTGCTTTTCATGCATTATAAATTAATGTAAAACCTTTGCCTGAATTCAGTTGCACTCAAATAAGAAGCTTTAGACATTACATATGTGGTAACACAGTGTTGCATCGCTTCAGCCTTCATGCTCTGACGGCTTTAATGATGTCACATATGTGAATTGCTGAAGAATTGACCGACCATGATTCCTGTTCATGATCGCATAGTTACCACGTGTTTTCGTAATCCCTCATCAGAAGTCTCTCTTCTGCTATGATCATAAAACATCCGAACTTAACTCTGATGAAAACTCACTTGAGCTTTCCACGGTAAAATGTACATCCATAAAATATTTAAGCACTGTAGCGTAGAATAACGAACGCAGCCTAACTATTACTTATGATACTCTTACTTTGAAATTTTTTAGCCGGCTGGTCAAAAATACTTCGGTTTCGATTCGCACATGTGTGATGGTAATTAATTTTTGCAGAAGTTTTGACCAAATGAGATTCTGCTTAAAGATCATTAACGAAATTTGCTTGATTTCTAAAGAACTCCAAGCAGTCACATTCAAAATTTTTTATTTGAAGCGGTACAGGCAAAACTAGGAGAATTCTCTGTTACATTTGCCGTGGCATTACCACTTTAAGTTGAATATACTAGGGCTGAAGAGGTTAGATAAAGTCTTCGAAAAGCTCTCAGCAAGTTTGAAATATTCTCGACGCAGTGTAAATGATCGCTACTTCAAGTAACGTAACTTTCAAAGTCTATTACAGGACAGGATGCGCGGAGTGAACATTCTTAGCGTTGCAAACCGTTGGTTTAGCAAAAGCGGTACGGGCAGTCATAGTGCATCTGAAGAAGAGAACAAGATACAGCAGCTGTTTGCCATGGGATTCGTCGACCGAAATAGAATTAAACGAGCACTGCGTTTTGCAAATTATGACTTGATGATCGCTGCTCAAATTTTGGTGAACTCTGAAAACTAGTTGCGTGTTTCTCCGCTCTGTACAATGCCTCCTGTGTGTGGCAGATTTGCGTTGCGATACATTCAAGTTGACGAATATTCAAGAAACATGCTCTTTTTAATCTCCTCAGAGGATACGGAGCTATGGTTGTTTATTGCTGTATACCTGTTCCATTTTTGGTGAATTATATGATGAAATCTTACTTTGTTTGGCTGGTGTAAATTTACGTCGTTCTGTCCTACTAACTGCGAAAGTAAATGCAAGATCGTCATTTACATAAAGCTTGGTATGCAAAATATAACTTGGTGTGTGAATAGTGCTGATCAAATGTTTCGTTGCGGAATGATGTACTGACCTGCAGTTATAAATTGCTCATCGTAATCGTTGCAGCAGGTCATATTGTTTCAAGCCACGTTTCAAAATATAATGTTTAAGAATAGGTAAGCGTTTCTCTCAAACGCATTACGTGAAAAGTGAACTCGCTCGTAGATTTGTTACTTAGCAGTATATTCATTAAACTCAATTTTTTTCCAGTCGTTGCAAAGGTTGCATGAACGTTTGTTGATATATTTGAGTAATCGACGCTATTTGAGGCGCGTATGGCTGCTTAAAGAAATATTACCACGTCGTTAATATATTCAACGCATGATGAATTATGGTAATTATTACTTAATTTAAATGAAACGACACAGTTGTCGATCCAAGATCACGTTAGAAAGCATGAGGGTTGGGGCGTGACGAATTCGGTTGCGAAAAGTGTGCTTTCCGAACCTCTGGCAGAAGCGGTGTTGCAGTAGTATGGCCGCCAAAATCGACAAGTATATCACGAAAATTCCACTGAACAGCAGAGCTTCTACCCGTTATGAACGAAGGAGGCCGACAGCATAATGCTATTATATCGCGTCAGATAAAGTTCCGTAGGGACGATACTGACAGTGGGAGTTTTCAGTCGAAAATTGGCACATTTCACTCAGAAAGATGAAGCCTGGCCAGATTTTACGCGGTGAGGTACCCGGCACAGTTTTACATTCGTCGACGAAGCGCCGGGGATCTGGAATTCAGAAATTTCATGGGTAAAGCTATTCCACTTAGGTGTTTATTTCCATGATCGTCGATTAAACAGGTGTTGCTGTTCTGGCAGAACCCAACCTCGTCAGAATCATTGAACGGATACCTATCAACGAAGGCTTGGAATCCTCCGATTGATGTCAGAACAAGGATTTATCGTTGTTGCCGGGTCCTAAAAGAGAATATGAGTCCTTCATGGAGGAAGCAGAAGGTGCTCTTAATAATGTGCCGACAAAGGAGTCCGCCATTTTGATACGCGATTTCAAAGCACATATCGGAGTAGACGCTGATATGTGGAAAGGCATGATTGGAGAACGGCCCTGGCGACCTGAACAATAACAGCATGAACTTATTGCAGTTCAGTGCAAACAACGGATTGCTCGTTATGAACACCGAGCATCAGTATATACATGGGGAAGTTTGTGTACAGAAATCAAAGATCAGTTTTGTAATTTAATCGTCTGATTTAGCCACTCTGTTAACTGATCATCACTCTGTTGCTCGCATCCTACTCTGCAAGCGCCGCAGTACCACGAAAAGACCTGCTGACAGAAAGAACAAGAGCGGTTTTCTCTATCCAGCCCCTTAGTGTGGTTGTCTGAAACTGTTTGGTCTACCCCGAAGGTCAGAAACACTTTTTGATGGGCACCAGGCGTTCAGCTGGCTGTCAGATAGAAGGTTGCATGCAGGAACTGGCTTGGAAGGAAAAAATCCACCAGCTCAAATGCGGTATGAAGAAATGTACAAAGCGGCGGCGAAAGCAGTGACCAAAACGAAAATTGAATCTTGAGAACCGTTCGATGAACGCCAAAATCAAAGATCTAGGAGGCAAATACAATATTCAGGCAAACCATCTGCCGCGTCCGAGATGGAAATTAGACCAGAGTTCCAAAGAATGAGTGCAGACGCATTCCTCCAAGGAAGAGGGCATACTTCGTCTAAGATAAGAACTTTGAGGAACTTTATATCTTCGAGCTATCGCAGGAAAATTTTGCTGAAGAGCCCTTTTCCTTTACATCTTTATAACCGTCATATTTTCAAATCTTACTAAATTTTTCGAAAACATGATATTTATGCAGTTCATCGTTTCTTCGAGGATATTCAGTTTTCAGCAGTCAGATCTTTGACTCTAAAGTAAGGAACTCATACTTCACTATATTTGTGTTGCTGTGCTTACAAATAAATATAGGATGGCTACATTTTCATATGCAATTCACTTAAAAATCATTCTGAAGCACATGACATGTGATACATACCAGCATTTGACTTGATAATTTTATGCTTCTATTACTTTACATTGTTTATGTAATTTGTAACGACCCGTTACGTAGTGCCCTACTTCTACTGACAAAACCGTATTCGCTCCATACTTCTAAGTTTCTAAATAGATCGAATTATTTGAAATTGATGCTTTGAAGCAAAGCTACTTTTAAGACCAGCGCACTCTTACTTCAACTTCCACGTAAATGTGAAGTCAGAAAAAACTGTTAAATTAAATTTTTAATTTAAGCTTACATCGTGTGCTGACTTTTACTCAACTATTAAGTGGGTCAAGGGGAATTGTAGACAAAGCAGCTAACGCATCAGTGAGCGTGGCATAATTCTCGTATGCTTTGGAATGACAACACCCGAAAAACCACGCTATCCCTGTTATACACGGATCACCGTTCTGCTCTGCTACCCGTTTTTCTGATGGTTTCCCCGAAGCACAGTGGAGCAAATTCTTTGCTCAACAGAATTAATAGTTAATAAGAGAAAATTTATTCGCTGCACAGGGTTTGAATGATGCACTCTTACGGTCAAAGCAATTTATTAACTCATTACGAAATTGTCCGTAAATAGCATGCAGTAAAAGTCTCTCCGTGATAAACAGTTAGCGTCGTGGGAGTTCTCCGCGGCGAAAAGTGAGTTATATCGTTAGCGGTGTTGTTGCTGTATCGAAATCTTTTGCTGGGCTAACATGTATACATGTACAAAAAAGTTAATACCTGAGGGTTACCAGTCGTACAGTACTCGACAGAAGGATGGAAGTACGTAGCAATTTGTTGGTGTCATCGTGGTGTTAAGGGTTAGTTACTCGTTGTTCCTCTTCAGATGTCTTTCAGGATAGTAAAGACATTTACAATCATTCAGAAAAGTATTTCATGGTGAAAGGACGTATTTTAAACATGATTTGCGGTTTAACAAAACTGATGCAAAGTTTTTACGTAAAATGAGCCATTCTCGAGAGGCCTAAATCATATCGCTCTAGACGTAATTGCAGAGAAATGAATAATTAGAAGCAGTCAAATTTGACCAAACGAATTGAAGGTTGTTTATCTGTCGTTTCAGTATTTCATCAGACCATTAATCTCAAAATTTCTGTAATAGCTTTTTGCTAATGACAGAAAGTAGTGTCGATTTAATAAATGGTGGGGCAAATTTTTGTAACGATCCGGATTCCCTTCCGGACTGTTCTGAGTATGATTTGAGACAGCTTAAGCGACTTATGTTTTGCTGATTGCAGGTAAATTTGGACTAGCCATTCGGCGGTGGTAAGGTCTAGGAGATTGAGTTTATCGAAAGTGTTGAGATAAGGATGATCAAAAATCAAGCATCCGAACAGGTGAAATGTGGAACAGAGCAAGGGGACAAGACAGAAAGAAAGTTGCAGCGATTTTTGAAGTATGAGTTAGAAGTTTGAAGTTTTTGAAGTATGAGCTAAAGTTGCAAAAGGGAAGTTAACGGAACATGTTTGAAGCAATTGTTGCCTGCTTAAACGGTCTCCTAGGATTCTTAGGAACAAAGGGACGTGTGCTACGTCGCGCAAATCTGGAGAATTGACATGAAATTGCTATTCTTGCCGGCGGTATCGAAAAGTGGCAGTTTGCTAGCAAACCAGTAATTCCAGGGTTTTTTTTGGTACATATATCGAAGGCATAGTAGATGATGGCGATATTGATTGGCGTGTAACTGTCGGTAAGAGTTTCATCTGCGGACAAGGTCTTGTTGTCGACCTCAGGACATTTTTTTCACGCTCCCCTCCGAAATGGGTACCGTTGCAGTAAAAATTTTGTGAAATTTTGAATTTACTGCTTGAAACATGGCAATACAGAGCTAAGCCTTTCAGCATACTTTGGTTAGCAGGTTACCAATTTTGTGAGTAATCCTTCAGAATAATGACACTGCCTGCTAAGTTTTAAATGTGGAAGGAAAGTTTAGCATATCGAAGCATGGCTTTTGTGCATTTTTCGAATTTACACTGTACCAAAATGATTTCACATAATCTAAATTAAAAGAGAAACAGACTGAAGATAAGTATTCATATCTCTGTAATCAGTCCGTCAGTTTCAGTGGCTGCTTATCCTTTCTCGTCGTGAAAGCAGACGTGTCAGACGTCCAGTTCAGTGTTTCCGATCCTGTGCCAGCGTGTGAGCATCGGCAGAAAATACCTTGAGTCTGAAGCAGAGTCCTTCGATATGCTTGCCCAAGATTATTCTTGGCCGACCCTGAGGTCGGTAGTTAGGTAGTTGGGCAAGTAGTAGTTGCTTTCGCCTTCCTTTCTGGGAGGGGGCATTTGCTGTACGTGCCCAAACCATGGCAGCTGTTACATGTCAGTCTGGAGAAGCAGCAGTTGTACGCAAAAGCTTTCTCAGATATCTGAACTGCAGAAATGAGGGGAAAGTTTGTAATCGTTGGAATGTCGATCTTCACTTTTCTGATGGGACCATTTTGGCGCTCCTCTTTTCATGAAGTTGATGATGCGGTGCTAATTTCCGTTAATTTGCCATCGGCCAGGAGTGCTTTATTTTAAAGGCAGCGTCTCCAGCCATATGGCATGCGCAGTTTCTAGTCTCCTGTTTCCTTCCTACAGAGTGGTACTCATCAGCTACAGAAGGAAGAAGAGCGAATGACCCTGTCGAACGCTTGAACTCGGGATTTTGCAGTTCTGAACTTAAGGCTCTATCGTCTGAGCAACCCCGATCTGAAGCAATTTGTGGTAAATTCCTTGGTCAATGGAATTGTTGAACAACACAGAGAGTGCCATCGAGCGGAGTCGAACCCTGCATCTCGGAGTTCGAATTAAACCTCACAGACAACTGTGCCTAC